GGGGCCTCCACGCGCGGGCCGCCCGGGCCTGGGCCTCGCGTCCCCGCGTGGAGCCCCGCCGGCCCGGGCGTTCTCGGAATTGTCACCGCGGCCCCGCGCCGCTAAAGCTCCACAAAATGAAGTCGGGGGGGCGGGTGCAGGGCTCCAAAATGGATGTTTGAGCAGTGCCGTGCCGAGCCGAGCCGAAAACTCCGCCGAGCGCTCCAGCCTGAAGCACGGCCTGTCGGCCATAGATAGCAGCGACTGCAGGGGCAGTGGCTTCGGCTCTTACAACGTTCGAGTCTGGAGTTTTTTTTCTGCGGGAAGTTAATAGATCTTAGTCGTTTTAAGTTGTCGATCGTAAAATACAAAGTTAGGCTTTGCTCTTGATGTAGTCTTTTTGTGGGCAGGAATCAACATTGTTGAGAGCTTTTTAAGTTCAGAATTGTTGGATTTTCCTTTTTGCAGACTCGTACAGATTTGCACTAGCTTTTCCGGAACAGTGAGACGTTTAATTATTGACCGTTAAAATTAGAGTTAAGTCGTTACCCATTGAGTGTCTGTGTTACAAACAGAAATAGAGGTAAGGAGTTTTATTTCCGTGCATGTTCATGCATCTCGAACTTACAGTTGAATTTGGTGGCCAAAACTTTTCATTTAGTATGGCTGCTAGTCTGATAGGGTGTGGAGGGATTCTTTTGGAAGTGTTTTTAGTGTCAGGGGTAAGGGGAGAGCTGCCAGTGGGTTATGAGGGCTTAGTAGGAAATTAGTTAGGAATAGATTGTTGGCGGTTAGTTATGCATTTTACATTTGTTTTGATCATTGCTGGTGCTTCAGTCTAACATGTAGATGTGTTCACCTATTAAAGTAATTGAAATTATACTCAAGTCAGATTTTTTTGAGGGGGCTTATAGGAGATGATTTTTGTGTAGTGATACTTTTAATAGTCACAGTGACCAAAGTTTTCTATTTGGTATAGTGAATACATAGTATATCTAGGCGTGAAAGTTAAGCTAATGGTTAATCTTTGGTGTGTTTGGAATTTTGGTGCTTTATACTGTGGGAGATACGAATAGTTTTAACGTCTAATTGTGCTTTTGTGACCAGATTAACGTGTAAAAACGTAAAATTACGTTTGCGAGAAGTATTGTTAAACTTAGAGATTCATAAACCTTTACGTAAACCGTATCTCTCCCGTGCCAAAGTGCCAAAACAGATTGGATGTTTATCATAATAAACCACCGCAGGAGTAAAACTGAAAAACAGATTTCTTCTACTTTTTTATGTTTCAAATAGAACAAAACTTTCTTCTCTTAATTTACAAGGTTTAGATATCAGTTTACATATGGGGGAGGGGAAAAGTGAAGAAGGAAGTTGGGGTAAAAATGTGCTAGTCTCAAACTCCGGATTGGAGTACTGTCTCCATTTCAGCCAACTGTGGCCTTATACTGGTGTAGGGTTGTTCACATGTCTCTTTAGATCCTTCTCTAATTTAGCAAATCACTACTGACAACACATTTCCCGCCAGATGAACAAGAAAGTCTGAGAAATCTGAGATTTATCAGTCAGATACCTCATAATTTGCAGTCTTAATAAAATGAATATATAATTTTTAAGGAAACCTCCAAAATATACTTTTTTTATGTTTGGCATTTGTAAAATTTTTCACTTTGATTAAAGTTAGCAAGACTCCCTTCTATGTCTTGGCTTTACCAGTAACAAAAGTACAGTACCTCAGGAAATGGAAGAGAATTTAGATGAGTTCATGAGCATTTTTTTTCCCATTTAAAAATGGGTTTAGGTAATGTTAATTATTCAAATCACTGGGAATCATAAGAGGTCTGTAAAGCTTTTTTGTTCTTGTGTTTTTAAAAAATGTACTGTGGGGCAACCCAGTTTATCATCCCCTGCCAGCTCTCAGGAGCTATGTCTCAATAAATTTTCCTACTTTTAAAAAAATGTGGAATAATTTTAGATTGTAGGAAAGTTAAACATAACAGAACCGAAGGTTACCTTATACCCTTCACCTAGCTTCCCCTGCTGTTTGTTTATTTATTTATTTTTTATTTTAAAGAGTAGTACATGAGACACAAACAAACAGTAGCCGCGTACCGGTATCGCGAACAGAAGTCAAAGCAAGAACGTTCAAGGTGATCCAGGGTCTCAAGACAACTTAATACAAATCAACAGTGACTGTTACATTGCATATCGCTATCCTTAACTACATTGCTCAGATTATCAGATGTAAGAATGAGAGATTCTCCTGCTGTTAATGTAGCTGTAGTATATTGATCAAACTAGGAAATTAACAGATAGATCAAAAACCTCCCCCTTTTACATCATTAACTAAAGTAATTGTAAACTTACTGAGATTTTTCTGATTTACCCACTAATGTTCATTTTCTGCTCCAGGATCCTATGTACAGTATAAATTCCATATAGTGTTTAAAGTCAAGTGAAAATATGCATGTACAGTTCAGCTTTATGCCAGTTTAGCTTGGTGTTTCAATATTAAAAGGACCTTGAAAAATTAAATCAGCTCTGCTAAAGATTTGCTTTAAATGTCATTGTGAATTTGGAAATTATTACAAAAGAGGATCCTGATCAAGATTGTTTAGCCTTGTGTTGAGTCTGATCACAGAGCAGTATCATCTGTAGTGTCCTACAACATGGACTCCCAAAGATGGTTGTATAGCAAGGCTCTTTCCTATTATAAAAATACTAAAAATTTTTATTATTATTAAATCACTGAATTTTTTATTGCTAACTTATTTGTAATAAACTAGGAAATAGAAAAAGGAGACCTTTATGCAAGTATTAATTTGTTCAGATTGCATTTGTGTGAACTTGTGGGTTATTTGTATTGGATTTGTGCTCTAGTGAGACTGAACAAGTAAATATTATGAAAGTCATTGCCTGATCTTTGCTTTATGTTATAGTGTTCATGAGTTCACCACATAAATGTTGGTGAACTAAAAAAACAAGTAATAACTTACTTTAAGAAAAAGTTGTTTTTCTAGTATCGAAATAAAATCTGTAGTGTCATAACTCATTTATTGGAGACTAAGTTCTGTTAATGTTCCTTGAAGATTTTGTGAAACGAGTACAATATTTGCTTTAGAGTTATTCTTGGTTTGATTATTACACTTGAGCTTAAATTCTGGCTAAGGCCACTTGGGACTGAGAAGTTCGTTATCCTTTCAAAGTGCAGTAAATGGTATGGATTTTTTTTTTCTTTTCCACAGGTATTATCTAAGGAAAGTCACTCCCTTCTGTCAACCCCACCTCCATTTTTATGCCCAGTTGCACTGACATAAGCCCTTGTAATGAATTACTGTAGCAACATCATTGCTGGTACCCACCCCCCCACCCCCCCACCCCCCCTGGCGTGCCAGCTCCCCAGGGCTACTGTAGTTTGTGGTCCTTTTTATCTTGTGGAACAGCTTTTTACAATAACGCCAGCTTTCATGTTAGATAATATTTTGTTTGTTGGTTGTCCAATAAGAATATTAAGAGTGGGTGAAAAAACACTGGTGGATTTTTCTTTCAGTTTGTAAGCTTATGTAGAGTTATCTTGCACCTAAACCAATGTTACTCCTCGATTGGGTTGTATTTTTGTGTCTCTTCCTTTGTTTCTATAGCATTTCCAGATACTCTTAGTATCCAACATTTTTATACGTTTTTTGGTGTCAGATGACTGTCCAGTTTATCCTTCACATTTGGTATTTTTTGGTAGTGTGATGCTGATGGTTTTTTACTAAGGAATGGACTTAGAATGCTTTCTAGTTTTCAAATGTATGTATATTTGGAACTCATTGTGGGATTATGGAAATAAATAGGCTTAAAATTCACAGTTTTTTCTTTTAAAGAAGGCTCTAATGCTTCAAAATAATTTTTATCTGTCCATTTCTAGCATTTTCTTTGCAATGATTTTAAAGTAAAATACCTTTATTCATTCAATAAATTACGTACTGATGTTTGTGCCAGGAATTGTGCTAGTCATCTGTGGATGTTTCTGAAGTCTGTTCTCGTAGTCTTAGTGATTATAATGATAACTTGAAATTGTATAGTGCTTTCTGTTTTTTTTTTTGGTACTGGGAATCGAACTCGGGACCTTACACTTGCTAGGCAGGCGCTTATGCTGCTGAGCTACAGCCCCAGCCCCTGTATGTGCTTTCTAGTTTATAAAATTTAAGACTTGATTCTTTTGTCCTCCCTGTAAGATAGTTTTTTTTGCATTGTTATCGTGAGGAAATCTGGTATTCTAAACGATACAATTCCACAGTTCTAGCTAGGACTAGAACTATTAGAGTTTAAATCATTGAAAGCCTGATTTGGGTGAGTGTTTTATTTTCCATTTCATTGAAAAAATTTTAGCAGATCTTTTTAAAGTTGCCAGAAATATTTTTTTTTGCATTGCTGGGGAATTGAACCCAGAACCTCATGTGCTAGTTGTATGCTTTGTTACGGAGCTATAGCATCCCCCCAAAAGCTGCAGATTTGTTACATAAAGGATTGTCTTCCATGCCTGTTTTTGCTACAAGCCATCTATTGGCGCCTGCCCCTCCATCTTTGAAGTTCATTGGTGATTTTTGTGTATGTCTTTCACCTTAGGTTTATTCACAGAAGTTTGGAAAATGTCATTTTGTCTTAGATTTAGATATTTTTTTCCTTCATTTAATGGCTGTTACAGCTTGTGTCCAAATGTCCCCTCAAAGCCTCATGCAGTCATAGGTGAGGGTTTTTCAGAGGCGGCTGAATCTAGATTGTGTGATTGATTCATGGCACAATGTTAGAATTAAGGGTAGATGATTACTAAATCAGTACACTGATTGGTTTGGAACCACCCTAATCCCTGTAGCCTGGATGCAGTGTAAGGGAGAGAAAGAGGCTTGTTTTGTCCCCCTTGCTTGCTTTGCTACCTTCTGCCTTCCATAAACTGTTTCTGAACCTCTGCAATGCCTGTCTGTCTGCCATGCCACCCAGCCCTGAATCCAGCTGATTATGGACTGAAACCTCTACAGCCTGTGAGCTAAATAAACCTTTTCCCCTTTAACTTTGGGTGTCAGGTATTTTGTCTCAGCAATGAGAAAAATGTAAATAAGGCAATGGCCCTTATTACTTGGGAAAATGGTTACTACAGTTTATTTCTGTTTAGCTTGGGAAAGGGGGTGATTTGGGCAGTATTTACTCAGACTTGTCATTTGAATTAGTTGTATTTATTTTCATTTAATTTCTTAACTAGAAAGCTGTTCACCAAAAGTTAGTATCTGCCATTATTACTATTTGTAGAAAACTACATACTATAATGCCGTAAGTTTGACTTTTTATAAAGAAAAGAAAAGGGACAAAACACCAGAATTGTAAAGTTAATTTATGCATGAGATACAGTATTTTTTTTTTTACAAAAAGTTCAGATTTAATGCTGGTCAGAAAAAATTTGATTCTCCAGTTCAACAGTAACTAGCTCAATAGTAGAGTGCTTGTCTTAACATGTATAAGGCCCAAGTGTCAATCCTCAACACTACAAAAGAAAAATTAAGAATAAAGATTGGCCAGATATGGTGGTACACACCTCTGGGAGGCTGAGACAGGAAGATTTCAGGTTTAAACCTAGCCTGACACAGATGTCAATTCAGTGATGGTATGACTTTGTCTCAAAAAATAAAAAAGAGAATCTGGGTGTGGTGATACATATGTAATCCCAGCACTTGGGAAGCTGAGGTAGGAGGATTTGCTGTGAGTTAGAGGTCAGCCTGGGCTACATAGGTTAGTTCAAGGCCAGCCTGCACTACATGGTCAGACTGTCTCAAAAAAAAAAAAAAAAAAAGTGGCAGGTATTTTGTCCCAGCAACAAAGAAAGTGAGTAAGACATCCCCTCTTTCTCTGTTCTCCTGAGTTGCGAACTTCATTTCTTCCTCACTTACTTGGGAGTTGTTTGGAAGTTTTAGCAGGGAAGCACAGCTACTCATGGGCCCTCGACCGAGGAGCGCTCTCCTCTACTGCGGGGGCCCTCCCTCGGCTGAGGGCGGCTTCGGGAAGGACGCACATGGAGCGCTGAAGGAGAGAGGACACCCGCCGCGCCAGCCAGATCAGCCGAATCGACCCCGGCGATCAATGGGGCGACAGTTGTCGCAGCCAGGTCCCCCTTACGTCCTTCCTCACTTATCTGCGACAATACTTCCTTAAT